TTGAACATCTCCAGAGAAGGAGACTCCACACCCTCCCTGGGCAGCCTGTCCCAGGGCTCCGGCACCCTCACAGGAAAGAAGTTTTTCCTGAAGTTTCCTAGGAGCCTGACAACTGAAGTAACAGAAAGGAACAAACGTGGGGGGGAAAGAGAAAATGCACTGAAGAGAGAAAAGGGCAGGAAGTTTAAAGAAGCAGAAGTTTTCCAAGAGCAATGAGAACTCCCACCAGACTATGATGGGATGGGTGTAGCTGAGATGTGCAGTTAAGCAGCAGTAACACAGAGCAGCACAGCACCAGCTTCTTCTCCAGACAAGGCCAGTTCATTCCATGCAAGAGCACAGTCCCAGCACGGCCCATTTTGAAGCGAGCAGCCAGCACCACAGTCACAGCACCAGCACACGGGCACCTCCACCAGCAAACACAGCACTGACCACACACAGGCAAGCACTGGACACTCCTTGCTCAAATGCTTTTTGATGAATGCTGGTAACAAGCATTTTTTGTTTCATACATCAATATTTCTTTGCATTTCTAGCAACCCCCCAACACGCCAGAGTCCTGGCAGCTTTCAGATGCAGCTGTGGCCATCTGCTTATACAGCCACAGCTTAATCCACAAAGCAAATCAATACCTTTTAAAAGGATGGTGGTCGCTTAAACATCTACTGTGTTCTTCTACAAGACACCACGATAGGTAATACTGCCACAGATGACAGCACAGGGCTCAAGCTCCAATTTTTATGTGAAAACATCAAGTGAGAAAGCGGGTCACTGCTGAAGCTGTCCCAGTTTGCCTTCATTTATTCCCAGTTGCCTTTTGTCTACTCGCAGCTCCTGGCACAGTGTCCTGCTTAAGAGCAGCTGTCCATCAAAAAATTCTTTTGTTATAAGCCCTACAAGCAACAGTGAAGTAACCACTGTTAATTCCCTCAAATAACGGGGCAGAGATCTCCTCAGTGACAAATACATCTCACATCCCATGTTCAAACCAAAATCAATCCTTTCCCTCTCCAGTAACTGTGAATTTACAAAAGGAAGAAAGGGTCTGTCACACCAATGACTGCTCCTAGTGCCTCCTCCTCCTCCTGCTCCACCTCGTCACCACCTGCCTCAGACAACCTTCAGCAAAAGAAGCAGAGACAACAAGTTCTTTGAATTTTCACCAGTGCACAGCACTCTCTTCTTTCTTCAGCAAACAAGCACTGGGCTTAGCACTCAAGGATATTTTACCCCATGACTGCTACAGGAGGCCACATTAACCCCAGCAGGTTATCCACACATCTAACAGCTTCAAGTGCCACAAGATAATGCTCCTAAATCAGGACTGCCCAGTAAGACAATCATAACAGAAGCAGGTGCTAAGACAGTGGCACTGAGCTGCACTGAAATGCTAAAGAACACTCGATCAAGGAAGCAGAAATAATAATTACCAAGATAAGCAACTCCCTGAAGCAGATAAGCCTGATCTGCTGGCCCTGCATTTCCATCTTCTCAATGCTGCCTGGATCCCCCTTACTCCTCCCTCCACGGTGCTACCTTGTTCACACACACCCACAGCCCACCAGGCAGGACTGCAGTGACGAGCAGAGAAGGTGATCTTCAGAAATCCCTTGGTTTTATGCATTGCTTCTGCCGGCATCAAACTGGGGCAAGAACAAGCTTCACTGCACCATCATCACGTTGTCAACACCAAGTCTCCGTTGATACTACAAACTCGTCGCGAAGGAGATACAGCTCAATGACCTCAGTGCACAGCCACAGGACATTCTGGTCTGACACATGTTATGTAGGTCACTGGTAACAAAACTCCACAGAGGAATATTCATTCCTGGGCAGTCTTGGCAGACTGTGTATAAACACACACGGCTTTCATCCTGGCAGGATGATTCTTCACCACAACACAAGCTGCAAAGCTGAGCACCTCCAGGAACCAACACTCGCTGTGAGCACTGAGGGCTCATCGCTCCAGAAACACACACGAGTGTGCCCTGGTTAACTAAACAGGAAAGGACACAGAGGTGGGGCTACGCCTCGCTTTGGACCTTGGAGAGGCTTTAGTGATGACCACACCGGTTGGACAACGTGGACAAGCACTTTGCTTTCAGCCCTAGAGGAAGGATCTGCTGAGACCGAGGGTGACTCACGACGCAGAAGGTAAACACGACGGTCTAACGAGTTACCTGGCAAACTCTGCGGTAAATGAGTGGACAGGGCAGAATGTGGGAGTGGCGCTGCATGGTGGGGGCTCGAGTGCAAGCCAGCTAGAAGACCTAGAGAGAAAAACAAAGAAAAGGAGAAGGGGGAAAAAAAAAAAAGAGAAAAAAAAAAAAAAAGAACAAATCCATATCCAAGACAGAAACAAGCAGAGGAGCTGCAGCAGTTAACCTATAGCTCAGCTTCCAGCTGCTGGGACTTCTGGGCTAGCTATAGGGACATGCCCAAGGGTCTCCAAATGTAACTGTTGGAGATACAAATCCATGAACTACAGCATGAAGCAACAGCAAGAGAGGTGGGTTGGGCTGCAATGGGTTAACACAGCAGAGCACTGGCATTCTTGTTATTTGACAGCACAGGCACAAGTAAGACACGTGCGTGTGTGACCAGGAGGGTACTCACTGTGGCCAAGGCCGTGGTGGAAAGTTCCTGGAGCAGGTCCCGTAACTATTGCATCCTTTGATACTCCTGCTTTGGAGGAGGAGTCTGAACTGAAGGAGATGACATGAAGAGGGAAGGAATGAATAGGAGAGATAATACCTAACGGGGTAGAGCTCAGGGCAGCTGGCAGCTTTGGATTGCTGGATTTGTAGGACTGAGCCAGTACACTTAAGGAGGGAGAACTCGTTAGCAGCACAGCTCCACTAGTTCCTTTCTGAAAAGCAACAGAAAAGGTCAGTCAGGAGGAGGAAAACCAAAGCACAGCATCTTCATACTTAAAGAACTGCAAAACATGGAGTGTTCAAGCATTCCTCCTTGCAAGAAGCATCCTCTCAGTCAGGGCCCAAGAGCCACCAACACCTGAGGCCATCGGAGATGCCCAGGACATGGGCAATCCTGCTGCTGAATCCTATGATCTTCTAAATGGGTCCCTACTGGACTTCACTCTGTTGTTCCCTTACTCTGGAACTGTGTCTCCATTAGGCAGAGGCACAGTTATTACTGCCCCCTCCCTGGAAGTGTTCAAGGCCAGGTTGGATGAGGCTTTGAGCAACCTGGTCTAGTGGAAGGTGTCCCTGCTGCTGGCAGGGGGGTTGGAACTGGATGAGCTTTAAGGTCCCTTCCAACCCAAACCTGGGGTTCTATGAAAAGCTTACACATGGCCTGTGAGCTCCAGGGAAGATGCTTCCTACTCACTTCTAGCAGCACATCACTACTGACAACTCAAGGCACCAAGGTTTGGGGTACCCCTGCACCCAAGAATGTCATTTGGGATCTCTCCCCTGGAGAGAGACACCACTGGGGAACGCTTTTCAGCGCTCTTGTCTCAATATCAGACAAGGTACACAGGCTGAAATGGTCTTTCAAGCCCATTTCAATAGACTCATTTAATTACCCAGCTCTTTCCACAAGCCACAAAAGAAGGCAAGTGTGAGGAGCCAACAACAAATGAATACAACAGCGTTAGGAACAATTAATTTTTCTGCTATAGATGAAAATTAAGGCCCTTACACCATCAAATACAACGGCAGAATAATACAAGTCTGTGTAGGTAACCCAGGAATTCTTCAGGAGATGTTATATCCCAATGAATTTTGCTTTAAGCTGAAAATGAGAGCTGGAATTCTGGAGTGCAAAACCATCACAGAATCACAGGATGTCAGGGATTGGAAGGGACCTCGAAAGATCATCCAGTCCAACCCCCCTGCCAGAGCAGGAACCTCAATGAGATCACACAGGAAGGCGTCCAGGCGGGTCTTGAATGTCTCCAGAGAAGGAGACTCCACACCCTCCCTGGGCAGCCTGTCCCAGGGCTCTGGCACCCTCACTGGAAAGAAGTTTCTTCTCAAGTTGAAGTAGAACCTCCTGTGTTCCAGCTCACACCCACTGCCCCTTGTCCTACCATTGGGCATCACTGAGAAGAGCCTGGCTCCATCCTCCTGACATTCACCCTTTACATATTTATAAACATTAATGAGGTCACCCCTCAGTCTCCTCTTCTCCAAGCAAAGGCCAGGACTTCCCAGCCTAAGCAGCTGAGATCCAGACAGTCATTCAAGAATTTCAAGAAATTCTTTTGAAGTCATCGCTTTACTGCTGGTCTGAACAAGCCAGGAGATGACCTGACACAGCACCACGTGTTCTCCTGGCTTTAGGCTAGGCCAGCACAGCCCTGCTTACCGGCACAGAGGTAGAAGATGCGGTGCTGCTAACAACAGCTGGCTTTAGGGAGGAGGTCAGCAACTTGGCCACTCCTTGAGTGCCCCCACTAGAATCTCCGTTTGAACCTCCAGGAGGTGCCACCAGAGTCAGCTTCTGTGAAACAGGTGTCTTCTTCACTGAGGAGCTTGAGGATGGGCGGCTGGATGCCTGGCCCGAGGAAGGGGTCTGCACACTGGGCAGCAAGCTCCCTGAGGAGCAGCCCTGGTTTGCAGAAGCTCCAGATGAGGAGTTGCTGGAAGAAGCCCCGTGCTTGGAGAGGGAACCAGAAACAAAAGGTGATTTGTAAGATTGTCCTGAAGAGCTAGAGCCACTTGAGTGCTTTCCTGTGTAGCTGAGAGATGAGGATGAGCCTGGGCTCTTGTGGGAACTGCCAGAGTTCTGGGTGCTGCCTGATGATGCAGAAGAATGGAAGCTCTGAGCTTTGGTTGATGACTTGACCTGCTGGAGAAGGGAGCGTTGGGGCAGTGGGGAGGAGGACTTGGGATTCTGTAGTTTGACAAACGGAGCTGAGGAGGTGAAAGTCTTGTGTAGCTGGTTGCCTGAGTGAAAGACCTTCACCTGAGAACCTGGCACTGGGGTGGAGGTCTGAGGCCCATGGCTTGGTCGGACCAGGCTGTGGTGTTTCTGTTTGGCCTGGTGCGCATCAGGAAGGATTTTGCTAGGGGAGGCTTGGCAGGACAGCTCTTTGTAATTAGAGTTCTCTGTCTTTTTGTCTTGAGAAGACTGGCCCAATGCCAGGGCCTGTTCAGCCAGGAAATTTAGAGGAGACTGGAGGGAACCAGAGGATGATGTAGGGGAAGGGTTGGACTTTGGAAATGTTCTCTTCTCCTCTGAGGATGCAAGAGTTGGGATCTTCTCTGGTGGAGCTTTTGAAGCTGCAGGAAGAGTAAAGTCAGGGCTCCCTCCCGCTCTGCTGTTCAGCACAGCCAGTTCCTTAGAGACTGCTTCGAGGGAGGAAGTGGGATTGTGAATTAAATCCTCATCCAAGGAGTCATCCATGAAGGCAGCAGGAGTGCCAGTGCTGCTGGTTGCTTGGGCTGTCCCAAGGGACAGAAGTTCTCTGGTTTGGGCACTGATGCCCAGAGCTCCTCCCTGGGGCTCTGAAGCCAGAGCTAAGGTGCTGCTTGAGTGCATCGAAGGAACAGAAACCGACATCTTTTTATCTGGCTTGCAGGAAGACTCCTGGAACAAAATCACAAGGGAAGGCAGAGTCAGAACAGAGGCAGGTTCACTGCTGAAAAGGGAAGGGAAGGTTCCCAGTCTGGGGATAAAAGGCAGAATGGGCACGTTCTGTGCCTGCTGGCCCCCCCACCTCCCTCCCAACTGCTGCTGCCATCGACTTTAGCTGCTGTTCTAGTTGACTAGAACTATCCCACAGTACCAATGCCTTGTACCTAATGCATAGATATAAGTCTCAAATATAGGATTGAAGATGGCAGACACTCGAATCTTGGTGTATGTCAACCAGGAGAACCAGAAAACAAAGAACTCACCTTCACTTTCACCTTAGTAGGAGCAATCACTTTCTTCTTCACCCTGTTTTGAGGGAGACAAAAGAAACATGGCTCACTGAATGCCTGCAGGGAAGCATCCAATTAGGGAGCACACGCGGGCCCTGTTAATGATGATCCACTGAGTCTTTTGCAAAGAACCAAGGGAACAGAGGCAGCATCTCAGGTAGCCAGGATTCAAAACCATATGACCTTTGGCTGCTGCTCTAGGAAGCCCTGACTCCCACACAGGGGAATGAATTAGGGAGCAGAGTCTTGAAATGGCAGCAGAGCAGTGAAAGCCCTCAACAGACAGATCCTGCACCAGCTGCAGGGCTAGGAGCTACCACAGGAACCCACTGCTGCCCTGGCTACAGCAACACCCAGAGAGAAACTGATACAGAGACTGCTTTGGAAAAAAGCTACACATTTCTTTTAGCTTCCCAGAAGAAGTCAAGGATGCAAAAGCATCTGCCAAATTCACAGAAAATAGATCATTTGGTCTGGTCAGATGCAGTCTCTGGTACAAGACATCCCTGAACTGCCAGAACAGTATGGCTGAGGGAAGGATGACTCTACGCTCTATTTCAGACTCCTTCTCACACTTCCCCTCACTCATCCAGTGCCAAGAACAGGACCGTCTGTCAAACAGACATCAGCCTAAGTCTCTACCATCATCTGTTCTAGACTGCCAGCAAGATCCATGAGACCCTTTGGTGTTAAAGCACCTGCCCAGCTGGATTCTGATGACTCTCTTGGTTTGCCACCCACAAGCCTGTTTCACCCATCTTCACTAGCTTGAGCTCATGGTACCCTTCCTTCAACCAGGCAACAAGAAAGAGGGAATCCTGAATCCAGTAAGGACCGACTGAACAGGTAGCAATAATCACAGCGCTGGCACCACACTCCATTTTTACCCTGATCTACCTCCCAGGGACTAGCACAGAGGTCTGACTCCAGTCTGCTGAACAAGGTCAGGAGGCAACCTGGAAAAGTTCTTCTCTTTGAGTTTACTGTAAGGCCAAAGCACCTCAGGAAGGCTGTGGCTGGGAGATGTCACACGCAGACAACGATTCTCCCTAGACCTCCCAAAACGAAGCAGCGCCAAACTATCTGATGGGAGCCTAGCAAGCTCAGGTGCTCCTGCATGATCCACCCAGGCCCCAGGGAACGGAGTTCACCAGTTATCACTCCAAAGGAACGCTGCACGATACTCACAGGACTGATGTGAGGTGTCCGTGTACACGCCTGCTCTCCTTAAACAGTGTCCTAAGAAGGGAAGAGAGCAATGAGAAGTGATATCCAGCAAGACCCAGTAGAGCAGCTGGGATCACTGGAGACAGAGCTGCTCAGTACAGCAGGGGACTTAGTGAAATTAAACCATAGAAAGCAA